AAAAAAAAAATTCCTTAATACAGTATAAAATAATGATCTATTTAATCATGACTGTGATTCCCTCACTTTTTAACAAAGTTTTTCTCTTTTCCAACTATGAAGTGACATTTCCCCTATTTCTGTTTCAGAGAAAAGCATTCTCATTATTCCTTCATATCAGAGGTAGTAGCAACACTCTGCATAAAGAGTTATATATAGAGTTATATATTTTTCTCAGTATCTGGAAGTGCAGGAATTAAAAAAAGACAATTTCAGAAGACAAAAAAAACATAGTAGAACTTTAATATCACACCTTCTTTCACCAAGAAGTACTACTTCTATGTTTGTGTGGCACTTGTAAGGCAGGTTCCAATGTCCATCTTGTGTTCCTTTTAAAAAATCCACTTGCATAGCAGGGCAAATAGTTATTTCTTATCTGAACTGCCCATTCAATCCACTTGCTATCCAGTCCTTGTCTGTGAAAACTTTTCTCTTTCAAAAAATGCCAAAGTACACAAAAACAGCCCCTAGCAGAAACATACCAAAACACAACTTAGGGAAAGTTTGTTTAGTCCTGTACTGGGGAACCACAGAAAAAAAAGTTCTCTGAAGGCAGTGTTCACTGGTGTCTGAATGTCCAACTTACAAATGCAGAAGAGATGCCAAAGAAGCCACTCAGCTGTGGCAGCTGATGGGTCTAAAAATGGATGAAGTGAAGACACTGACAGCACACTTTCTGTCACTGCTACTTAAATTCACCCAAGATTTCACAGTTGATCATGGAAGTTGCCCTGCACACCTGTGAAGTGAAGGCATGCACTTGGACCTTCACATGAGAGGATAATAAAATGTCTAGAAGAGGATGATGGTAAAAAGAGAGAAGGAGGGACTGTCATTGAGACTTTCTAGACAGTCTGAGTGAGACTTAGGCAATCTTTGTATATAGCAGTACCTATAGTGAGATTCTTCACAACCTTCCCTTCACCTTCTTCTTCCAAACTCCTTTTTGGACCTTCTTCAACCTACTCTTTCACAGGAGGAGGAAAAAGTGCTGCCTAGTCAACAGTTGGTAATGATGATCCATTATCTTGGAGAGGAATCTCTTGTAGCTCGTGTCTTCTTGTTACCTTCTATTGCTATCCTGGCTGCCAGGTTGCATTTTGGTAGAGGGTGTCAAGAATGTCCCAAACCAGACTTTCTCTACCAGGAAGCAAAGGCCTTAGGTCTCCACATCCCTCAGTACATTAGGAGTGCAGAAAAACACATGTGTGCTTCTCTGTTTCTTATGGCACTTCTAACCCTTTGTCAGTGTGCACAGAGAGGCAGGAAACTCAGCAGGAGAAAGGAGATACATGAACATACACACAGAATTTAACACAACTACAGAGGACATGGTGGTTAAAAATCCTTTTCAAAATAAAACCATTTGTTCTGCAGCTGTAAGTGTGATGAGCTTCCCTACGGTTTTGAAATTAGTGCAAAACTTTGCTTTCCCAGGATTTGGAGGCCATGTTCTCCACCATTAAGGACTTCCTGCACTTCCTCAGGTCCCACCTATGCTGCTGCATGGTATCTGGCAACTACAGATAGGCTACTACTGCAGAGTTTCTAAGAGGGAACAATGTTCCAATGAGTCACACCAAAAATAACAATATGGCTAGAAGAGACTATTCTGAAATCCCAGAACCCCTCAGGTATTGCTTACCAAGTAAAAAAGAACCTAAATCACTTAAAACTGGTCTTAATCTCTGCTTTTTACTTTGCTGTATTTCCTTGAGTTGTCATTTCCCACTAATGGTGGACTGGGTCAGGGCTTTGCCTCAGAATTAAGTGACTACAGGGTCTGGGGTTTACAGTGTTACTGTAGGTCTACAGGTTTAAAGTGGGATTATGTAACATTTAGATAAAGAATGAGCTCTTACTAACAACAGTTTGGAAACCTGACAGTAGAAAAGCCGTGCCCACCCTCTGTTCAACCTGCAGGTACCCCCCAGATCTCCAGCTATGTTGAAACATTACCTGCTTTAGCAGCAGTAGCAGGTGGTGTGAACTGCTGCATGGGCTCAGATGGTGCGGTATTAGTGGGAAGTAGCATGATCCCACCTTCAGTGGCATTCTCTGGGGCTACTGTGGGAGTCTGGGTTTTCTCTGATATGCCTGGGAAGAAATCTTCTTTATCTGAAGAAGAGGAAGGTGTAGCAGCCTGAAAAGAGGAATTATAGGGAAAGACTTGTGAGACATTTTTCACATTTCTAGATTTAGAGATGTTTTTTTAATAACATGTAGGATGACCCTAGAAATTTATGTTACTAGGAGATTTTATTCATGTACAGAATGCCCATTGAACAAGAACTGTGCTTTTTTTTTCCAATAAGGCTTTGTAACAAATGCTAATAATTTTCCAAGTTTCAAATGTTGAACACTCATGAGGCAACCTGGAATACAACTAAGGCTACCAGTTATCAAAATATTAAAAAAATCAGTTTAAATACAGTTATAAACCTTTAAAAGCCAATGTCAGAAAGTCTGAGTGGTATTATTGTCTTTGTACCATACACAAATATAACAGAATCCTTGCTTCTTACGACATCTGCTCAGTATACAAATTGCTCATGCCTTTTTATCTCCTCAACAGTAATTATTAAATACCCTACATGTCTCTACTACAAGCATCAAGCAGCACTGCCTTACCTTGTTAGTAAATCAGAACTGCAGCAAAGGACATGGCAAGTGTGGCACAAATAACTGAGCACTGGGTTAATCTCGCCTTTAAACAACCCATTACTCGCAACGGGCCAGCAGGTTTTCCGTAATATTCTTAAGACTTATTTCTGATCTAATGATATGGGAAAAGCATTTTTCCAGTTATGGTTACTGTGTTTGGCATGTGAAGGTACAGAAAAATACTGTTATTCATACATCATCTATTAACTGAAGAATAGGATTATGGAGATTAGTAAAGCCTACACTTACATCACAAATGGCTGAGGTGGAAAGGGACCTCCAGAGATAGCCCAGTTCAGCCCCCACCCCCAAATCAGAGTAAGTTACAGCAGACTGCTCAGGACCAAGTTCAGTCAGCATCTCCAAGGACAGAGAATCTGCCTCTCTGGAAAACTTCCACTGTTTGGCCGTCCTCAAAGGAAAAAAGATGGGGTTTAGTGTTTAAATAAAATTCCTTGTATTTAATTTTGTGTCCATTTGTATCTTGTCCTGCCACTGAACAACACTGAGAAGAGCCTGGCTCCCATCTTCTTCACACCCATCAGAGCTAATCATACACATCTGCAAAATTCCCTGAACCCTCTCTGCTCAAGGCTGAACAGTCCCAACTCTCTTCTCTTTGCATTTCAGGTGCTCTACTTTCCCTTTGTAGTTTGCCTCCCTAGGAAATAAGAGCAGCCCTGCCTTGTGGACAGGAGAAAAAACTCGCTGTGTAGCTGGGAATGTGAAAGCAATGCCAGGAATTGGTTCTTCCCAGCCTGCAAAGAAACAGAGAGCACAGAAGTCATCTGCAACTCCATCTCAACCTTCAACAATGGACACAAAGAAAAGATCCCTGTGCAGTGTCAGGGATTGCAGCTGCCCACCCTTGAGGATGCTGAGGACAACACTGTTGTGCACCGGCTGCACTTTTAGGTGAGTCTGTAACACAGACACCACCTCCAGTTCTGCTCCATATGCACAGTACTCTCTGAGCAGCTGGACACTGATAGGATCAGGGACTGCAGCTCCCCTAAAGCAGTGCCTTCAGGAATCTCACCCTTGACAGCATCATGTAAAGGGAGAGCCTCAAGCCCATCCTGCCTTGTATCTTGACAAAAGGTCTTTCCTCCAGATAGGTCTCCTTTATATACTCACTCCACCCCTCATCTTCATACAGGATTTTCTTCCCATACTTGGGCAAATCATAGTGTTCTTTTGCCTTCTCAATTTGAGGGAAGTCTACTTTCCTGAGCTTCCTCTGGTTTCTCTCCTCTCCTCATTCTTTGCCAATCCAGCAGGTGAAAAGCAGCCATCATGGCTTTGAAGGACAGATAGAGACAAAGTCACCTCAAACAAACCTTCCAGGGTGCCTCTTCTGCAGTGGCACCAAACATCACTTCAGTCAGCAAGCTTAGGCAAGACACTGCAGTCAAAAAAGGTGCCCTGTGGCACTGTCACATCTGAAGCGGTGTCACAGCCAAAAAAATAAACTAAAAATGTTATCAGACAGCAGACAACTGGGGCAGGGACAATATCAGAAATTAAGTTCTCAGACAGAAACTATTATTGAGAGATTTGCTGGAACAGATGTGGAGGGTGAGATTAACCTAAATTCCAGCTTGGGAAGTCAAAGTAAAAGGAAAGAAAAGAATTCTTTCTGGGAGTGAGTCTGATAGGCAGTTTTGTTGGTAGGGACTTTGTGGGTTGTTTGCTTTTACCCTTTTTTACAGCCACTATTGCTTGATACAAATACACCAGTGGTGAGGGCCCACATCCTCCAGTTCTCTGGGTTTGACTTGAGAAATCTCTTGAGAATTCCAACAGAAAATGAGAACAATCATATAACATGGAGTACAGACTTCAAAATAGAAAGAAAGGTAAATCTAAATATCAGAACATCTTTCAGGGGTCTTATACATCCTCTATGGATCAAGTCAATGTATTTTTAACCAAACGGAACTGTTCAGCTTCTGCAGGCCTCAAAGCTGAAACAAAGCCAAATCAAGAGATGAACATCTATGATATTCAACTGTGTTCTAAGTCTTAAATATGAATTCTGAAGGCAAGCCAATCAGACACTAAAAGGTTCACCATCACATATAGTCTGTCAGCCATCTTAAGGTTTCTTAGGTAGAGATTTATGCATTTTGACTGCACTATTATCCCTGCAAATACAGTAAGCACAAAAATTAAGTCAGACCTTAGCTACTGAGTAAATGCTTGGAACATTGCAGCATCAACATAGCAGCAGCTAGACTCTGACTAAGAACTGAAAAATCTTACTTGGCTTAGCAGATCAGCAGTTAACTGAAAATTTTAAAAAGAAAATTAATTCTTTGCCGATATCTAACTTCAAGGATGAGCAGCACTGCAGATTTCTGTTCTGGGCAGCTGGACAGCATATACTCTACAGATTTCTGAATGTACTCATGTTATTCAGCTGTCAGAGAGTGACAGTCCATAGGATCCCTCTGAACTCTGATGTAAACCCAACAGTCAGGTGACTCACTTAAATGACAAACCCTATCTTCCCTCTCCCAAATCACATACATAAAATCCCTGCACCTGACTGCATTTATGACAAGGATGCTCCAAGGGCACAGACTCCAGAGGTCTGTGTTTGGTTGGTTTCAGAGTTTAAAATCTCTGTGCAGGTCCTTGCTCAAAGAACACAGCCCCTGAGGACACCACATCCTGCTGACTACTGCGAAGGAAGGGAATCAGGGACTCGCATTTTTGCCACCTTGCTTTGTCTGGCTTGTCAAAACAGCTTTGTCTGGAAGCTGCAGAAGGGAGTGCGTCAGCACAGATCCAGGAACAGAGATACAGAATTGCTGTGGCAGAATTGAGAGGATTATATGAAAACATTGTATAATGTGCAATAAACAGGACAATTCATTAAACTTAGTAGTAAGCACGATTTTAAGACCTTCATATTTTCATAACCTGTACTGAAACACCATAGTTTGAGAGGTTGTTTGGATTATATAACAACAAAAAAACTATTTGGAGACCTCTCAGCATTTTCAATCCAGTGTAAAAGTTTAAGATTTCCTTCATAACAAAATTTGGTTTTCAAAAACCAACTTTTTTTCAGAAGAAAACACAAATATGTGCTAAAAAATCTGAATGAGATTTGATGAAAATTTCTGCTTGCTGGAGAAGGAGACACAGAAGAAGGAAATCCTACCACCTGAATATATCACAGGCAGCTTCTGTTTCACTAGGGTCACAAATAAAATTCCCAAACCAGAAAAACTTGAGGCCAAGCTGAAAATTTATGTTAGGAACACCTGGCAGGGCTTAGGTGGGCAGAGGACTGGCTGCAGAGGCCACCCTGGTAGTCCCAGTCAGTTTGGCAGCGGATGGAATCAAGTCACCATGCACCACCACGGCAGACTCTCAAACCTAGTCAAAAAAGGGCAATTGCCACTGTGAGCAGGGGACACAGGAGGATGTGGGGGGATGCACAACAGAGACACATGAGAGGAAACATCTGGAAGCAAATATTATTGTGCACAGGGTTGGAGACACCCTCATGGAAACATGCACTGCATGCCACCTCCCAGGGAAATAAGGCCCACAGAGAAGCCCACAGTAGTGCAGATGAAACAAAAAGGAAGGAACAGAGGCAGAAAAGAGAAAAAAGTGACAAGTGGCAAAAAGGAGACTGCCACCTACTGATCCCAACTTCCTGTACGACCTGTTTCCTCACCAAAGAGACTGAGCATGATCTGTAGTGAAAGGAAGTGGGGTGGAGACTAGGAAGGGGAGAGGAGGTTGTCTGGACTGAGGTTGATTATAGGGAAGGTCAGAGAAAACTATTTGCTAAAACTGCTCATCATCTCCATTTCTCCACACATCTCTAAATTCAAAGGATTCCCACCTAGGAAACAAAGGTTTCTTAGGCTTTGGCAGCTTATGAAAGCCTTCCATTTCCCCAGATTCTTTCTTTACATTAATAATGGCCTTTAGAGCCATTTCTCAATAAACGTCTTGAACAGCTTTTGATGTTATCCCACTAACGTGCTTTCTACAGCTCTGCTCACACAGCACATCCCAACCACCTTCTAACTATACTTGTCTTATCAGTTCTTCAGCGTCATTATAAGCTGTGGCTAAAGACTGACCCACGTTTGGAGTTTCATCCCTTCTGCACTGAAAGCAGCAAGCTCATTCCCCAGCCTTTCTATTGGAATTTCAGTGGCGGTGCTAGCATAATGTTAGCATAATATAAAGATCACACAAGAATGACTCCTCTGTGTCCCAGTGGGAAATAGGCTTCTCTCCATTTCACTTCACAATAAACTCCCATCTACACAGTGTAGAAAGAGAAGGCAAAATCTTTATATTCTGGTTGGGGTAGGAAAATCAAAGTAGAGATCTACAAAGTAGGCTTGGCCATATATATTTATCACTGCTGCAGGATGTGAAATCTCAACTTTCATAAAATGGTATTCACATGATCCCTTAGAGACAGGGAACAAACTTGCTCAGCTCTGACACATAGTTTAGGTGAACTCAAAGTTTTACAACTCCTTTAAGGTGCTGACAGTTCAGTCAGCAGGGATCCTGACAATTGGCTAAAGATTAGGACCATGCTAACGGGTCTTCCATTAGATAGCAATATGCAATGGAAACAAGTTTCAAGTGTGATGGAGCACAGAGCTACTGCAGGTTCTTGGCGTGGCTTGATTTCCATCACACTACACAGGCAGGAACTAAAAGATGCTTGCAAGTTTCCCCTAGCAGATGGAAGGAAATATGGGAGACTAATTTAGTATAGCAGTGGTTGGGTGTCCTTAATTTTAATTTTTTAATTTTGTAAGAACAGCTCAGCTATTGCCCTGTGTTAGAACTAACTGCAGCACTAGTGCATGACAGAATGTCACTCTAGATTTTATTAGCAGGGACAGTCTACTTTGGTATCATACTCTTCATATGTACACATATACATACATTTTGCATACTAAGAAAAAAACCCAAACAATATCTACTCCTCTCACCTAAACCCCATGTTAATTATGCTCATTTCGAGATGTGCATGGTAGGAACTTTTTAAAACAAGTCTCCCATCATCAGCTCTGCTTGCAGTAGTAGTACCAGTTTTCAGCTTGCCACAGCACTCATTCTGTTGTCAAGTGTTCCTCCATACACATGAAGATGAGTTCTAATCTCTTCTCACTTGTGCCAATACACTCCAGACCAACTTAGTCAGTCATAAAAGTCACAGGCTACCTTGACTCTACAGGAAGTGGTCCTTGAAAAGCAACCTGCTATCATGGCCCCCACTTAACTCCCGGGCAGTCTCCCTTGCCATTCTTCCAAACAGATCCTAAAATAGGCCAAAGACTGCTCTACTGTAGCCCTTAGTTGTGACCCTGCTTCCTCACTAATTCCTGCCCCTCCTAGGAGCTTCTACCTCATGCCTGAATCCCTAACTAATCCCTTGGTTCCTGCAAGGGTGAGGTCCAGTGGAATCTCTCTCCTCAACTCCTGGAAGCAATTCAAAGTAATAACATTCTTTAAGTTATCAACAAACTTCAGAAACTTTCTGCACAGCTTTTACCCTGCTCTCTTGCTCTCCCAGTAGGTACTGGTGTGTCTTAAATCCACCATGAGCACCAAGGCTGTTAACAGGAGACTCCTTCCAGTTACCTGAAGTCTTTATCTGTTTCTTATGACTTGCTGCTCTCCACCAATCAGTTATTTCCTCCCAGAACTGCATTTATCACAGATTTCATTTCAAATTTCTTATTTGCTTGCATTTCTTTTTCCCTACAGTAACAATAAATGGCAATAAATTATCATTTTTACAGCAAGAGATACTTGCTGGTTACATAATCTTGTGGAATTTTGAGCAAGTCAGCTAACATTGATCAATTTCCTCTTTCCTCCGGCAAGGAGAGTCAAACCCAGGGAATCTGAATTTACAGCCTGTTTAAACTTTCCAACTGAACACATCCTGTTCTTTAGAAACCGAGGTCCCTTTAGTCTCAACTGATCGAACTAGTTGGCATAAATAGAGAACAGGTGTACCTTATGTAAATAGAGAACAGATGCATCTTACTTAACACTGATTTATTTACTGGATTTTAAGTAATTAATTTATTTTTCTAATTATCAGACTCAAAGATTCTGAGAACAGAAACACCTTATCCACTTCATCCTGCTACACATCATGGTCCAAAACTGCTATCATCCCTCCTTAAGTTCCATGCCCCTCTCAAGTTTTAAAAGCATTATAAAAATGAACTCAGTTCTTACATCTGTAATACCACTGTGCATTAGTAGCATAAAACCCATGAAGCAGGCCTAATTTTATTGATGGAATAGCTTATGTTCCCCAGTCTTGGCCTTTGTATACCAGAGGATCTACTAGTACTGCTCTGCTAACCTCTTGCAGTGAGTCACCAGGGGTCAGAAGTAAGCACCACTGTAACACTATTACACCAGGTCCAGGTGCATTTGTACACTTTCAAGGAAACCTCACAGTGCCCTAAGAGGAACTTTACTCCTTATCATCTGATGGAAAAAAAAAAAAAGAAATAAAAAAAAAAAAAAAGAAGTCCTTTAGTGATTCACCTGCCTCTTAAAACAATCCTACCCCCTTCAGCCACTTCTACATGGTAACACGACAGTAAGTCATTTGACAATTGTAATATTACAAAGCAATAATCTAAGATTTTCAAATATTTGAAAACTAAAATAATTTCCAAATAGCCTCACCATACTCTGCCTGCTTCCTGAAGGGCAAACATACCTCTTTTTGCAAAGCATCCTCAGGTTGTGCAAGAAGTGGAACAGCTGCTTCCCTTTCAAATGTCTTCCCAGAGGGTGGTGTAATCTCCAGAAGGGACCTGTCCGTGGAGTGTTCATTGATGGAAGTCAGTTCAGAGTTATTTGTATTCAGAAGACTCTCTACCTTCCCAGCCTCCCCTTTCTTTTCAGCAAAATCTTCCTGGTTATCTCCATCATCACCCGTGGAAGTGTTGAAGCCATTTTCACCTGCCACCATGAGGCCCCAGTCAGCATAATCCATACTGTCCTTCTGCTCGTGTTTGATGCCCACCTGAAAGGGGTCCTGCTCCAACTCTTTATAATCATCAATGTACTCAGGTATCTCCTCAAGGCTGGGATCTTTTCCAAGCAGAGACAGCTTCTTCAGGCTACTCACTTCCTCTGACGGCTCATTCTGGAGTCCCACAGAGTGGACCATGCTTGGGATCACTTGCCCAAACCCTAGCAGTGAGGCTGGCCTCTGAGAAGGCCTCAGCACAAAGGTAAGATAGGACTTCACAGTTTCAATTTTTTTAGGTTCACAATTGTCCTTGTGTTGGCAGCTCACGATGTAACAGCGCCGTTCGAACATCCAAGACAAGTCACAACCAGAGAGGTCACAACACGCTGCGATGCAGTCGGACACTGACAAAGCATGAGGAACTCGCATGATTTTAGTGGTTTCTAAGTTGGGAGATATTACTGCACCTGAGTATGTGGCTCCTTCTCTGCACTGCTCACAACTGGAACCTGCAACAACACGACCAACATAAGGTACAGCACTACAACCAATCCATAATATAGTTTTCTGTGACCATAAATGGCTTACAATACCGAGACAGGTGGTAGTCTCTTTAAAAAAGCTCATCTCCTTTCACTAACATCATCACTACCTTTTTAAAGCATGTCCCTTTGCAGTACTATTTGTACTTTGGAGGATTTTTCAGTGTAGGACCTTGACATATTTTGCAGAAGTACCTTTTACTCCTGCGCTACAAATTCAAATACATAGAGATGAAAACAAGTTGCCAATATTTAAAAACAAGAACAGAGCAGAGAATTAAAATAAATAAATAAATAGGTACCTCCATTACTACCATAGCGTGTAAAAACATGTCTTAAAATGCAAATAAGGTGCTGTAGCATGTTATTATTTCACTTGAGGGAGAAGGGAGCAAAACTCTAAATAGGAGAAAGATTTGCCATCTCATCTGAACGTCATGAAGAGTTCCTCACTCCAACATACTAACTGGTCTTAATACAAAACCTGGATGAATTTCTCAAACTTCTGCTGCTTTACCCACAAGTTCATGTGAAAACCCAAGAGCTTGTTCCAGTATGGAGCTTTTTCCTTCATTTGCAGTAAAGCTGCAATCTTTTAACATGACAACAGAATTATTTTCATAGCACATTACAGACTGAGTGTGAAATGGTCAAAAAAAAGCATGAATCAACATGTTATATATTCCAGTCAGTTTTTAACATCTTTTCTAGGTGTTTTTTCCCCTGATATAACTACTCTTCAGTATTTCTCTCCCTAAAATCTGATTATGCTTCAAGAAAGCTGAGTAAAACCAGAAAATTATTCACATTGGTTTTTATGACTCAATGAATGAAAGCAAATGTGCCCCTACTGTGGAGCTAACACAGGAATGGAAGACAAGGCTGACTTTGCTTTGTACCTCTTTATTCACAATACTATAGGTCAGGGAAAACAAAATCACAGAGTAGGAACAGGCTGGCAATAGGGGTTAGGTGTGAATATGAGCTGCAGAGATTCTCTAACAGATGCAATGTGTCCAGTCCCCACCACCTCATCTGGGCTGAACTCCTTCACAATACATGGTCTGAATACAGCTATCAAAATATATGTGAGGAATCAAACCGCCCAGGAAGAACGTAAAGCTTGAAAAGTAAGTTAGTCCAATGCAAAAAAACCCAAAAACAAATCAAACAAACAAACAAAAATTGCACCACATACTGAGAGACATAGTGGGAAGGATGGTTTTGCAGAGTTGTCTGTGTGGGGTAAGAAAAAGCATGAAATGAAAAAAAAATTTAAAGACTGATGACTTGCAAATATATATAGCTGAATAGGAAGCTGACAAAATGGATAAAGAGATTCAAGTACCATTTTTCTTACTGCAGCCACTCCTTCACACAGACAGAGCTAGGATGCTGTCAACTGTTCCACTTTATACTTTCAGTGAAAAAAATCTATCCAGGGAAACATGCACTTAAAACCATCTATCCTATTCTTACACAGCCCAGACATGAAGCATCCTTATCTGTACCCAGAAGATGCTCAAGATTTCTGCATTTCTTTTCTGTTATACTGCATATAAATATTTCCTCTACATTCCCTTTTACCTCCAAGAACATAAGGCCCTGGCAGATACTTGGAATTGTCATCACAATTTTTTTGTCTTTCCTTTGTCTGCACAACTTAGAACAGGAGAGCCAGACAAACTCTGGGTTAAAATGAAGTATAGGAGTGAGGTATCCCATTCAACCATTCTGTACTTTTGCAACTCATATGCATTTAGTTAGTCCTATAAATCTGTAGAGAGATAAGAAACAGGCCTTTAAAAAGGGAAAACAGAAACATGACTCTGTGCAAATATGTAAAAAAATCATTACAATGAATACTTTAGGAACAGCACTATTAATGTGGGCCAAAAAGCTCCTTTCGTGAAAGCTCCTTTCATCCCCCCAACTTTAACTTATTCCTGAAAGTGAAGAGTGTGTTTAAAAAAACCAAACAACTGAAGGATTCACTATTTATTTGTTCAGAACAGAATGACCAGCAGTTCTTGTTTTAAAGCCAAGCCTACACAACTGGGACACTCCACAGCTCTAACCGGAGGCAAGACTTCAAGTCCTCAATAAGCTTCAAATCTCACTCCACCACTTTCAGTTTGACACATCAGTTATCATACTGCAGAGGCAACATTCCTCAAAATTCATGGTGCTTCCTTAGCCATAGAGAGAAACAAGTCCAGCACATTCCTAAGATGATACATGACTTCGAACCTAGATCTCCCAGGCACGTAGCCTACCCACAAACCTTGGCTAGATGGAAGTTTCATCTCTTGCTTTTTCTAGCATTACACTTGAGTTGAATTGTAGCAGTAGTGCTACAAAGGATGCAAGAAAGGATGAATTGTATCAGGCTATTTCGGCCTCACACTGGCTGCATCCACTAGTTATCTTCACGTGAAAAATATACTTAGAATGACCTTGATCTGATTTCTAATTTCATATTCTCTTTCATCTAATCTCCAGTCTGCAGTGGACTCAAATAGAGACAGTGAGGTCTTTTATTTACAGAAAATTTACTGGGAGTGTACCACATGAAAGGTCACTTAGTAACATTTGTATCTGCTACAGTATTACTCACCGTGTAAGGTCATAGCACAGAGATTTTATTTTAGTTAACTGATCTCAGGAATAAAACCACTCTTCTACTCTGACGGCAAAAACCAGCATCATGCAATTCTGTTTGTTTCAGAAGTACTCATTCAAGTTATCAACAGGTAGACTGATTCCCTTTGTTAAAAGCCCTAAAAACCCACTGGTACGCGAGTCAATAGCCTAAAACTTCTGCAAAGGTTAAGTGTTAGCTGCACCCTGTTACATATACACTAGGACAACACTGACATATCCAAAGACCTAGTCAGGCAAGATGGCTACCTTAAAAAAATCCCAACCTATATCTCCCACCAAAATCCTAATAGTCAAACTGTGGAATATAGTCTCATTTTAAAGAGATTCCCTCCTTTCTTTGAGGTTTCACCTCTTTCTTGAGATTTCACCTCTTTTTGAGCTTCACACTTCTGCTCCTTCTCATCTTGAAACAAGAGTCCACTGATGTCAAGAGCCCATCAGGAACACAGCTGTTCCCCTGTTGCAGTTGGCTAGAGACCTTTCCTCAAGTGGGCATGGAAACCTAAGAGTTGTTCTTCCTTATGCTTGCACAGCCATAAGCACTTGAACGACTTGGTGGTAAGTGTTCTTTAGTCAGTCAGTACCAAATTGTGAGGGTGTGCTAACATTGAGGTCATCACAACTAATTACCCCAGCAGGAAGCCCTGCAAGGACAGAACTATCCAGTCTGCTTGCTTTCCCTAGCAGCAAGCACTGTAAGAAGAAGTAGAAAGAAGGGGCAAGAGAAAATGTACAGTAACAGAGAAAAGCTCAGATTCAGACCTTACACCAAGAAAAATCACATTTCACCAGAATCCCACTACCTTTTTGCTGGAAGCATAGCATTGAGGGTCCACATAGAACATTATTCTCACAGCCTAAAAGTCTCTGAACTACCTGACCATGGAGGATCATAGGATGTAGCAGTTTGCTACAGGAAGCATAGGATTGTCCATGTTTTCTTGCCATAAGCTCCATCCACTCTCTCTTGGAAACTAGATCTATTCTGGTTTTAGGCTTAGTGATTTTTTTTTTAATCTATCCAAGTAACTGTTACCTCATTTAATGAATTTTGAGATGAAAGACATTGTATCATTACTACTACCATAATAAAACACTGAAACAATTTTGGTAAGTTTTTGGAAGCAAAATTAAGTAAGTTTTATTTTTAGTTACAGTCATCTAAGAGGAGAAATTAAAATTCCAATTTTCAAGCCACAGAGAATTTCCACAGCAGAGCTATAAACTTAAGCACATTTCATATCATAAACGATGAAAAAGGCTTATATTCCATCAGCTTGGATAATGCCCTACAGAAGGTGCAGTCCTGGAAACCAGAAAAGCAGTATCACTGACATTTGAACATTTCAACATCTGAAATTTCACTATATTGGACTCTAGCAGCAGCTAATATCTCTGCACACCATGAAAGCATTTTAATTCGTTTACTGCAGGCTACCCTGAGGTTGTTGAGACCCTGACATCTCTCAGGTCTTTAAACACAGAAACATATGTGATAACAAAGTACCCTTTTGGGTATTGGTAAAGGTGGATGACTGAGGAACAGACAGATTAAAAAGTGCTCAGTACATAAAACCAAATCCTCAACACAAGCTATCAACAATAATCTAGTTACATCTGCAAATAACGATCTGCAAAGCCGTTATGGTCATTACAGCAGTCTTCACACTTCTTTTGTCCAGGATCAGTCATAATTAGTTCAGTGGGTCTGATGATCCTTTCCAAGTACTGTTTTCATTCCATGAATTGTCATCATCCCTGTTTGTCACTGATAAACCAAGTGCTATTTAAATAGAAGGGGGAAAAAAATAAAAAAGAAAAAAGAAGGGCAGATGCACAGCTGCAACTACTGCTTCCCTCCACAAGGAAATACCAGACCACTTCCAACAGAGGTATGGACAATGTGAACTAACCTGGCATACGGCATAACTCACTATAATCTCAGAGATTGTAATCAAGCACTACACCATCTTGTATCTCTGGAAAGACCTGTGTGAACCAGGACATTAGAACATCTAGGCATGGTAGTATAAGCAACTAAGAATGCACCACACCCCCAGGGCAGTGGTTCCACTGTCATTTCAAAGACATCCCTGTATCTTAAAGTGTCCCTTGACACTACTGGCCTGGGCTTTACATGTTAGATATGTGGGAAGAAAAGGGAATTAATCTTTTTCAAAGTCCAAGACCAGCAGTAGTGAAATGTGTTGAAAATTGAGGACTGGTAATGTATTTAGA